AAGTGTATATGCTAGAGTTATATAAGAATCTAGTCACAGTCGACTTAGAATTGGTGGGCCCGCCTTATCTCATGTTCCTTGTTTGGTTGTGGACCTAGGGCAGACACATTATACTCAACGGCTTATTTAACTAAATTTTTATATAACTTATATACGTTGGGCGACTATAGAAGGAATCTATGGGTCCTTCTAGGGTACCTTATCGCATAACATAAGAGCATTCATTTCACACTTAATAAGGAAAATATTGGATTTTTCTGGAAACATACTTTGTCGCTTTTACAAGGAAAACGGTTTCTTTCTCAAACAAAACTCTTATGAACCCACCAACTTAATTGTTGACATTTTTTCAAAACTACTTGTATTCTCAGGAAATCAGTGAAACAGGAAAACATCAGCACTTTGAGGATGGGACGTTAAGTCGTCAAACAGTTCATTTTGTCTTCATAATGTAATTGATTTTGAAACATGTAAACATATATTATGGTGTAACTTTTTCAATTATAGTTATGATGGTTGTATTTACTTTGAGCACTATTATACTCGTTGTTGTGATACTATACATGAAGTCCTCCACCCCCGGACGTTTCCGCCATCCTTGGTTTGGGGGTGTGACAAAGGATGTGTTTCGACAACATATCAGATGGTTTAATAAAAAGGTTGGTCTGCCCGAGGACCCCGTCGGTATTCTCCTTTGGCTCTCGCAAATCTCAGTTATATGTCCCTCATCGGCATAACTCATTCACTATGAAAGCTGGATATTTAGAGGGTGTTTGGGTTGCTTTTTGAAATAACTTATTAAATTATTGTTTTTTTTAAACAAATAAATAAAAAAATGTTTGGATATGAAATAAGTATTTTTTTTCTTTAAAAAAATAGTTTATTGGAACTAGATGTGACAATCGTGTTCTGTCGTGTGCGAGTTTGTGTCGTGTCGAAACAATAAGCAGGTTGAAAGTGTTTGACCTTAACCTGACCTGTTTAATTAACATGCCATGTTGTGTCAACTTTATTTTAATGTCGAGTTCGTGTCGGGTTTCTTGTTAGGGGTATAATTTGAAACATGTCGTGATGTTGTGTCATGTGAGGTTGAAACACTAAACATGTTAAAAGAGTAGGAGTTGAGCAGGCAGAAAGGAAAAAGTGATAGTTGAGAGGCGGGATAAATAAAGTCATAGCAAGTTCAAATGACAAAATGGAAAAAATAAAAACTAGGGAGGTGGAAAACAAGATCACAAGGATGAGAGAATGGTCAAAGGGACTGTATAGTTTGGGAGAAAACGAAAAAACTAAAATAATGAAGTCTTGATCTGGACGACTAACTTATTTTCACGTTACAAAACGACTCAATCCAAAGATTTTCTTTTACTTATGGTTTTGGTTTTGAATCTTTATACTTTATAAAAAAAATTCAAAAAAAACTTACATATAAATAAATGAGTTATTTTCGAGTCATATTTTCAACCATAACCTTACCGGTTTATTTTTCGTATAGGTCGTGTTACCCAAAATGGTTTTATTTTCCGTCAAGTTCGTATTGTATTAGTTTTTGGCACTTGTATTTATTTGAACACCTCATTAAAATTACCTATATACCCCATTCTCCCCCAAATACTCCCCTCGTTCACGTTGTCAATTATTCCCAGACATTCGTTCTTCACACTTCCTTCACAACGTTCATCAGCTGTGACCCTCTCCGATCTCCGTCTATACATCCGATCTCCGGCGTCGGCTACTGCTCTTTCTCCGATCCGGTTAGTCCCACTTTCTTTATCCGGTTATACCTCCAGGATCGATACATGAATTTTGATTTCTGGAATAGATGAAGCACGTGATTTACTTGAATCTAGAACTCAATTTCTTGTCTGATTTCTAGTATATGGTTCCTAGTTTATTGGTTGGAATCCGGATTTCTTTTTATGGTTCGGTATAAGCTGATGATTTATTTATTTGGAATCGATAATCTATTTAGAATCGATGAAGCAGATGATTTTAAGGCAGTTTGGTATAATCTGATTTGCTGTTATAAAGTCTACAGTTGGTAGTTGGTTTTATGTGATTCTTGAAATAGAGCAGTTTACAGGTTTTTCTGAATTACGTCTGGTTGATATAGTTTGGTGTTAATCTTGTTTGATGTTAACATGAAGTATGACTGATGCCTATTTGTGTGTGAATTGTTAGTAGAATGTCTCAAATAATGTTGTTGATATGAGTTATGCCTGTTTTTGTGTGATTTGTTGTTTACATTGTTGGTATTTGTGTTGTTTGCATTTTGATACTCTCAGATAAGGGAGGAAGTTATACACTACAGAGAAGATATCTAATTGAGTGTGGTTTAGGAGAAGAAACATACATAGGTACAGGTGAAGAGGGACTAAAGAGAAAGAGAAAAATGGCAGTGGAGTATGATAAGGTAAAGAGAACTCGAGATCTGCTGTCGAGTTTCTATTCACAGGATGCTTCTCAGACTTCTGCTCCCACCAACACCACATCAAGATTCGCCACTCTCGACACTATCAACACCACCTCCTTTGATGCCGATCAGTACATGAACCTTCTTGTACGCCCTCTCATCTCATCTTAAATAAAAACTTCTCCCTCTCTTCTCTTCTCTCTTAATGTTGTATCAAAATCTGGGTTATATTACAATTTAATTGAGCCCATTTCATGTCAGAGGTAAACTGTTTCTCTCTATGGGTATCATATGTATATACATATCACTATGCTATTCAAGACTTACAATGAAGCTTCCACATTACCTTATTCCAGATTTAGAAATCTGGATTTCTCCATTTAATCTTGATTAATCCAACATGTTTTTGCCAACACTTTGATGCTGTTATCCTTAGCCACTGGGAGGAGTAAAATTGTTCAATTAGAGAATCACTTACACATGTTGACAACTGAGATGAGTGCATTGTACTGTAGAGAATCTTTGGCATACTTCATTTACATTTGTCAAAAAAGTTAGATAGATAGGCTTATATCTTCTATTCTTTTAGTACAAGGGCTCTTTCCTTAGCAGTCAAGGTTGAACCTGTGGGTTATTTTTAAAGATAAGCCTATCCTATTCTACTCTCATTAAACTTTTAAGTCTAAATTATTTTGCGACTGGTTACTATTTGACAACTTACATTATACAATGTTTACAATGTTTCATTTTCTGGCTTAGATTTTGTTTTTCGGGGATGAGTAAGGGTGAGCTGTGTCTTTCTCCTGACCCTATCTTGAGTTACAAGAATTTTGAGTCTTCAAACAAATACTTGACTAATTTAGTCAGGGACCTTCTTTTAACCTAATGACCTTTCAGAAATGGGGATGATAACTAGTTTTTGTGTCTAACAACCAACAAGATTATTAGTCACTCATTGGATTCTTGAGGCCATTCCCCACCAAGTGATAATATGCTTAACATGAACTTTCAGGCCCTTCCTGATGGTACTTGTATACCATCAGGAATATACCCAACAAAAACGTTTTATGTAGTGGAACTGATCGAACAAGTTGGAGAAGGACTATAATAGGGTTTTTTTGCATCATAGATAATACAAATGTTGTCACAAATTTAGTCATGAGAAAAAATGGGATGTTAGGGACCTAAGCATCATTGGTGCTTATCAGCCTATGTTTTTCCCCTTTGAGATTTTGGTCGAGAGTTTTGTTTAGGGGATTTTTTCTTCTTAATTTAGCAACAAGGTATTTTGGGTGGCAAAGACTGGCATTCATTAACAAAAAAAAGCAATAACACTTTACAACAATTATCTATTAATATGATATTCAACATATTTTGCTGAAGATTAGGGTTTCGAAAGTGACGTGGTTTCTTGTGGTCTTATGAGACTCTCAATCCATCCTATTAAGATATCAAATATATTTTGATATATATATAGGCAGCAAGTTAAGCCCTATGACTGTAAGTCATCCAAGAAAGTGCTATAAATGTATAACCTTTTAAAAGATGAATACAAACCGTGCATACAAGTGCACCACTAATGTGATCTAGTATGTCCTAAGTGGTTAATTCTGTACTTCCAAACATTTACCAGGCCTCCATATAAGAGGTTTACATGAATTAAAGTTTATCCAAGTCTAAGGCACTTTGAATAATGAAGAGTGATAAGGACATCAATCCATGGCTACATTGTCAGCTTTGAGCACCTTTTGATGTTTCTTTCCCTTACGTATCAGGTACAAAAGTCAAATCTGGAAGGCCTCCTTCAGAGACATGTGGAAATGGCTGCTGAAATCAAGAATCTTGACACTGACTTGCAAATGTTAGTGTATGAAAATTATAACAAGTTTATCAGTGCTACAGATACAATTAAAAGGTTAGACAGACACTATCTCTCAGTTACCAAATCTGCTTTATTGGTTGTTTGGCCAGTAACATTGATTGGTGTTGGATATGTATATTAATAACTTTTTTTTTTTGTGGCAGAATGAAGAATAATATTGTTGGTATGGAAGTAAATATGGAGCAACTCCTTGAGAAGGTATTTTGGGAACACATTGTTGACCTTGTTAGCAAGAAAAACGTAGAAAGTTATATAAATAATACGACTACTTATTACTTTTTTTTTTGTAGATAATGTCAGTGCAGTCGCGAAGTGATGGGGTCAACACTTCACTTTTTGAAAAGAGAGAGCATATAGAGAAATTACACCGCACCCGTAATCTATTGCGCAAAGTTCAGGTACCAAAATGACCTTTACACTTCTACTGATTGTTTTGCTTTTGCCAAACATATATATAATATATAATATATAATATCTACTCATTACCTGTGTTGAGCAGTTTATATACGATCTTCCTACCACGCTTGGAAAATGCATCAAATCTGAAGCATATGGTGATGCAGTGAGGTTCTACACTGGAGCCATGCCAATATTTAAGGTCATTTTATCAACTTTTCTTTCTTCTGTCAGATCAGATGCTTATGAGCCCTCACATGTGCTTATGAACCCATGCAATTCATTTATCTTTTTGCTCTGTATGTTGAACTTTCACCAGGCATATGGGGACTCCTCATTCCAGGATTGTAAGAAAGCATCTGAAGAAGTAATGTCAGTTATCGTTAACAAGCTTCAGGTACATTCATTGTTAATTTATTCCTGAGATTTATTCAGATCCTTATATATCCGTTTGGAATATATGTTGTATATTATTTTATTATCAAGAATAAAGAGAAAACAATATTGTGCATCTTGTCTTTCAGGATAAGGTTTCTTCTGAATCTGAATCAATACAAACAAGAGCGGAGGCTGTAATGCTTCTTAAGCAGTTGGATTTTCCGGTTTGTAACTCTGATTTTAGCAACAAATTTAATTCAATTCAAGAGCTTTGTCCTGCAGTATTTATTTTGTGGACTTGCTGAATATTAACTTATACATTGAATTGAAGAAAGGATACACAACTCGTGATGTGCATATATGCATCCAATCATTAGCCTACACACATGGAAACATGGAGAATTTTGCATTTCATGTGCTCTTCAGCGGTTATGTATAGTTACTATTAGTTCCATAGTCAAATGATTGTCACTTTGATTCACTTTAGACCTCTAGTAGTGCCTGTTGTGTTGGTAACACATGTTTGAGTACATATGGAATAGAAAAACGAAAAGCCAAAGAGGAATAAATATATGATTTCACAGAGTATGGTTATGTGAAAGTTTGATATATTCGTGTTACTAAAAGATCACATTCACACACAAGACTATCCTTCTGTACCCGAAAATCAAAAAAAGAAAGGATACTAAATTACTTTTTGGAGGATTTGAAACATATTTTGAAGCTGTAGAAAGATGATGTAAATGATCAAGTTGTCATGTTTTTTTTTCCCTAGTATTTTAATGAAATGCATGGAGAAAGTATTTGATTGACTAAGTAAGGTATGCATGTTGGCAGGTTGAAAACTTGAAATCCAAGCTTCTTGAAAATCTAGAGCAGTTCCTTGGGGAACTTGATCTCTCTAAAGAGATAACA